TCGGCACAAATCCTGCGGCGATCTATCGTTGACTGAACTGCAGGCACCCCAACTTGTCAACAATTGCAAGAGTTCTACGAACGATCTACAGGGAGCAGATCCCGCCTTGATCGAAATACTTCCGATTGACCCCGGTGCCTGCCATCGTGACCGAATCACCAGCAGCCCTTTGTTCGATCAGACGAGTCCGATTGGCGGACTTCACGCCGCCGGAAGCGCGCTTCCGTCTACGGTCTACGGACCGATTCCGTACAGTTAGTAAACATGCGCATAATTTTCCTGAAATAATGCTCTTCCTGCCGCGCGTAAATAGCCGCGTGCCCCGTTAGAATCGCCTCGGCATACCTAGCTGTTGCTGGTGTCGTTGGCGCGATTATTGAGAAGAAGAGAGACAAAATAGAGAAATAAGTAGAAACATGGTACCAATTAGGTAGAGCAGCATATCCTTTTCAGAACGTTGTTTTAACTTAGAAAACTTAATAAGCTCAAATTACGAGTTCAGATTCAAGTCGATATTAAGAAATATTTTGCAACATATCTGTATCAGATATATTAAAGCACGTATATTATATTAACTTCGATATATTAAAGTAATTTGTTATATAAAATATCGTAATAGAATAAAAAAAGTTTGAATGCCTTCGTCAGCAATCTGCTAGAATCTACAAGCATCGATATTTTGTTTGTGAATTTTAGTAGGTAAATTTAATTTATCTATAAAAAATAAATAAAATACAATACATTCAATTGTTGTGATGGTAAAAATTCGTTGAAGCTTTGACAACTATACTAGAATTCTTTTAGATTTTTATATAATCCGGAACAATAAAAAATTTTTTATATATTGTTTCAGTTAGATTGTGCTGCAAGTCCGAAAATAATCGGCGTATTTCTGAGATAAATTTATTTAAAAATACATATCGATTTATTATTCCAACATCTAACTTTGATCATAATTGGCACTTTTCTTATTTGAATAAAAAATTTTCTCTGTTTCTCGAAAATTGCTGAAGAAAGAATTAAAATTTCATGTTACCAGTGATTAAAGATAATTGACACGACATAAATATCAAGTCATAAGGTAAAAAGTTTACTTATCTTATAATCCACAAAAAACTCTAGAAACACATCGAGAATAAAACGGTAAATCGAAATTAAATTATATAAGGAGAGGATCAGATAAAAAGAATAATAAGATACCGTAACAAAATAGTCTTGGCACAGGATAAGCGCGAGAAACAGAGAGGTAGAGAAAGAATCGATTGCGTGAGAATCTCGTTCAATGAAAGCGGTGAAAGGTGTTGCGGCGTTCTGAGAGAGAGACTGAAATTCAGTTTCTCGTTTCGGCATTTGTGGTGATGAGTTAGCGTTACACGCTAACAAATCGGGTTACACGAATAACGATAGCACGAAACAAAGTAGTTCTGCAGAATCGCGGGAGAATCCAGCGAGATTTCACTGAAGAAGGACAAAAAGTTTGTGATTTGAAATCTGATCCGATAGAAAAGATTTTTAAAAAATTATTTTTATTCCATATGTTTGTTTCATTTTTTTATTTCATGACATTTTTCTGTTACCGTACATCGCGATGATTCGCATTTTCAGCTGTTCGGGATGAAAAATAAATTCCTTGCGTTTGGAACCTGAGTATTATGGAACTATTTGGAATGGATTCCGCTCGAAATTATTTAATTATTCTTTAGAGTTCTGCATTGAAAAGAATCGGATAATAGCCAAATATTGAGTGAAATAATTTCAATCAAATGTTCGATTAATTTAACCATAGATAATTTTACTTTTCTAAATATTTAATTATCAAGTATTACCAGACGTAGTAATAATTATAACCAATCGTTTACTAATAATAATTACTAAATATTTATATAGAATATATAGAATAGTAAAATTATTCTAATTAAATAAGAGAATTCCTATATTTGATTAAAGCGAATTTCAATGCTTAAATATTTCTATGTTATATACATATCTGATTCTGTAAACTGCGCGCCGAAATCTTTTTCGGTCTCGAAATTTATGGTCTCGCATTTATGAGTAAAATCAGAGTAATAATATTATTTATTAAATTGCGAAGCAATGTAATAATTTTTTTGACGTTAATAAACATCTTTATAAGAATATTAATAATAAGATATAGATTTATTATTCCAACATCTAACTTTGATCATAATTGGCACTTTTCTTATTTGAATAAAAAAATTTACTCTCTTTCTCTTATTAATAAAAAATCTATTAAAAATGAAATCTAAAATTATTTTTTATTGGATTAATCGGACATTCGATTGCAAGTTGTTTCACATTTGACAGCTATTGCCACGTTCTTTTTTTCAGTGTAGTATTGTGTTTTCTAGAACCAAGGAAAAACAGAATAATTTCTATCGCAATCCATTTCGAATGGTTCAATAATACTAAAAGACTTTGTTGCTGGTTCGAACTTTCGCGATGCTTACGGCGACCTGTGTCATCGCGACTGCGCTTTATTAGAAATTGATCGGTTGCAAGCTGTATTCCACTTTATCAGTCGCACGGTCTCGTTGCAGCCCGACACACGCGAATACGCATCGTGCCTGCAGGCATGCACGCGCGTGCTGTTGCATCGCGATAAACTGTCGTCATTATCCCGCGCAGCGCGTGCACGAAAGCAGGTGCGTGCAAAACGCTTTTGTTCGCATCTGAAATACGGAGCTTCCTAGTTTTTAAATACTCTTGAGAGATAAAAGAGGAGAAAAGGAACGGAGATAAAGATAGAAATGCGTCACGCGAATCGATATGCGGTCATTAATTCCTACGTGCTTTTGCATAAATAAATAATAATCGCCTATAAATGTGTTAAAAGCTACTTGCAGGGATATTTAGCGGAAGGGATCGTTCATGTTCCGGGTCGTTATAACTGTCATTATAATTTTGCAAATATCGGTGTAATACTAGACACTATGTAATAGATTCACTGCACTGTGTTTTATATTTAGTTATGTTGTATCACGTGCACGTAATCAAATGTAATCGAGCATTACATGAACTCAGACACCGTATCTAAATTTTTGCCTCGTGCCAGTCGACGACCTCCTCTTAAGTCGTTTCTCTCTGCGAAGAAGCCATATGTTGTAGCAGAATGAGATAAACAAGCGGTGGTCTCGATGTGAGTTAAACCGTCGTCTTTTATGTGATTCAATTCTTCCTTCATGATATTGTCTGACTGGATATGATATTGTCGCATGCTGTAATAACTATCGGAACTTGAACATCATCAAACGTTAAAAACGCCGAAACTCTAAAATCCTGTCTCTTGCGAATGTGATAATCTCATGTCATAATCTAATAGCGAATTCAGTTCATTTGCATTACCTTACATTATGTTAGCATATACTAAAAGCTAAAAGCTATTATACGAAATTAGCAAAGTTAAGTGTAGAAGCAAAGCTAACAATAAGATTCCCGATAATTTAAAATATACAAATAATATTGTCAGTCAATGCAAAAGGCTCTAGCTGATTTCAAAAAAGTTTTTATGTAAATTCAGAACGTAATATTTTACTCAAATTGATAATTATAATACTATTCAATACAGCAAAATTTCAATTTTATGAATCTATTCTTTTTAATTGTGATACGATGATTTTTTACGAAGTTATGAACTAAAATCGAAATGTTTCTTTTTTAATTCGCGATAACTCACTAATAAAAAAAAATCTCAGGAATATTAAAAAAAATTTTTGCAGAAAAAATTTTCACGTTAGAAAATCGAAAATTTTTGCAAATTTTTTTGGCATTAAAGGTCTACAAAATGAGAAGAACATTTCTTATTTTGTCCACCTCATAGTTTTCTATATGTGAAAATTATCAAATCACAGAAATTAAAGAAACATAATGACTTTTCGAAAGTATAGATTTTAAGCTTTAAATCCCTTTTTTTAAATTTAAATTTTATTTATTTTTAATGAAGTTGCAGTTGCTTGAATTTTGAATGATAAATCGAGTCAGAACTTTTGTACTGATTCAAGAATAGAAATCAGCATTTATAAAAATATTTTTTAATGGTTCAAAGAAGACATAACGTGACAGAAAAATATTTTTGTTAAACTTTATAGTCATCATCAACAAGACAAAGCATACAAATCATACTACTTTTCGCATTAATATGTTCTATCCACTGCGATAAAAGCGTGTAATATTTTAACGATTAAATTACTCAATTATGATATTGTCACGCTATTTAGCAGAATGTGCAGGTATTATTTCATTGTCAAAGTTAATTACATTATGCTACTGCAGATATTTCATATAAAGCAGCATTTAATGTACACTAATTTAGTGTAGAGTGACAAAATTCACATGATATTGGACATTTTCTAGCAAAGACACAGTGTAATAGTGAATTATCACATCCATTGTTGTTTGCCAATGTTAAAAAAAGAGTGAAATGATTTACTGTATTATTATCCTTATTAAAAAATGCTCTTTATTCATTCGAATTAAAATAATGTCCTTTGTTATTAATTCGAATCACAATAACGTCCACGTTTGAAAACAAAAAGTCGATGTAAGGATCGTATTTCATACTTTAGATTGTCGCGAATTACGAATCTGCGATCGACATCGAAACATTCGCCATCATTTTTAATAACGACAGGGTTCACTGGAGCGATTGACGACAATGATTAACTCGATGAAATGGCACGCGAATTTAAACCGCGCCCCAATAAAACGCGCTTCCGTCAATCGAATAATTTAAACCGAAATTAACCACACTCTCTCGCGTCGCATCTCGTTGTGCATGCTACAGATCAGGGTTTAATCGAATCGAAATTAAATTGCACAAAAATATATATATATATATATATATATATATAGAAAGAAATAAAGAATATCGTACGTACATTAGAACATCCTATGCGAGAAAAAATTCTAATGGTCCAAACGCGACCCGTTCGTTCCGTTTGCGGGTCGATCAGTGACGATAAATGTGACTTACTTGATCGCAGAATCGCCGAGGCGTTATGTGGAGGGTGAGGTGACGATTCACTATCGCTCGCCGGTGCGTACAGAGGCGAAGGAGCCGCTGAGTGAGGAGGAGCTCGCACGTCGCAGCGCGGAGAACATGCGGCGCGTCTACCAGGAGGAGCGCCGTCGCAAGTATCTTCAGGAGTTACATGACATCGACTCCCGCAGACACACCGATAATTTTATGTAAGTACAAAGGTGTCTTCCTTTTTCCTTTTGTTCCTTTTAATTTCGGGAGACGAAGGATGACGTCGGATCGTAGCTTTAATCACTTAATCTTTTCAAGTAAGGCTCGAATTACCTTCGTCGATGAAGAAACAAAATCCTCACTCTAACGACGTCGTACTAATTGGAAGACTCGTGTATCCTTCTCGCGTATTTTTCTGTGCTTCTCTGTTTTTTCTGTCAAACGCGAGAATATATTTTTGAAGATGACGTTAATAATAATGTATGGAGAAAGGCATGTTCATCTTCAGCTTGTCATACTCGGTCGTCGGCTTGTAAACATTTCCTGCTATTCAACGCTGTTGCGTAATGCATCATGCACCGTGAGTTGTTTTACGCGGGCGCTACAATGAAAGTGTAGGCGAATGCACAGGTAAAAAAGTCGAGAGAGATTTCATTGATGCTCGAATAGCCCTAGATATTCTCAATAGCGAAATAGAAAGTCCCGAGTTTACTGAAAAGAAAATGTTTCATAAAATTCTGTCTTAATCTTTATCATTTCATTATTTGCAGTGTCCGAAATATTCTGGTTTTATAAATTTGCTAAATGAATAAAATTTACACATTATTATATTTAGCATTAATTGTTTTATAATTTAAAAGCAATTTTTTGTTTTTATCTTTATTTAAAGGATACATTGAAAAAAAATTTTAATAAATATTTATTTGAAAAGTTTTATTTACTATAAATGTTAACATACATTTATTTCAAAAACCACTAATTTGATTCAATTTAATTTTTTTTTTTTGAATATAATTTGTAAATAAATGTTTATTTATATATTGTATATAATATTTAAAGAAATATGTATTACAGATAAAAATTAGTAAATTTTTTTTTCACAAAAGATTATCAATCTTTATTTAATTGTCAAATCATCAAATAAAATAATTGAGATGTAGTGTCGAGGTATCAGAAATACTTAAGCAATTATATTAGAAAAAAATCATGAGGAGTAATATAGAATTAATTAACATCGTCGACTATTTGACTCTAAAACGTATTGGCTGGATTTATCATGAAAAAGACTATAGAGGATGTTGAAAGAATAGATTTACATTCCGCCGAGGCGCATTTCAATCGCAAGCACTCGATAATCATCACAATGCCGAGGAGAGTTAGCATTTACTCAGAGCAAACAGAAAGACAATCCTGGTTTGCCGCGGCTGAGAGAAACCATTCCATCTTCTCGACAACACTTCAACAATTTCCAGACCATCACAAAAGTCGCCCATACCCTTGAATCGCTACGACGATTTTGTGGACGATTTGAGCCAGCGAAGTCGATCTCAAGATCAAACACCGGAGCCACGTCTGGTAGCAAGAGCGCTCTACAATTTTGTCGGCCAGTCGTCCCGGGAATTGACTTTCCGGCGCGGCGACCTTATATTCGTACGACGACAGGTGGACAAAAATTGGTACGAGGGAGAATACAATGCGATGATCGGACTGTTCCCTTCCAACTATGTCGAGGTAATCGCCAGTTGAATCTAGATTTTATAAGGCATATAGATTTTATAAAGCGTATAGATTTTATAAGGCGAGAAGTGAAAGTTAGATACCTGGCAACAAAGTATATTTTTACTAAATTATTACTTTATTCTGTACAGATCTTACCGTACGACGGTACGATGCGAACGACACCAAAGAAGGCTCACGAGGGACAGGCACGGGCCAAGTTTAACTTTATCGCTCAGACGAATCTCGAGTTATCCTTGGCAAAAGGTCAGACTATTGTTGCGAGGAGAATTTCTCTAAACTTGACTCGAGGCAACGAAAGAAACGTAAATTACTTTTCGAAATATTTATCAATCTATTTACAGGCGAATTGGTGGTCTTAACAAGAAGAGTCGATGAAAATTGGTACGAGGGACGTATAGGAAACAGAAAAGGGATCTTCCCGATTTCCTATGTCGAAGTTATCATCGAACCCGGACTTCGATCAGGTAATTTAAATCGAAGAAGTCAGATTAATCTTTATGGTGGGGGTTTATTTTGAAAATCTTGCAACTTTTGTTTCCTGTTATAATTCATTATTTTATTACATTCTTTGTCTCACAATATGATATTGTTTTAGTAGCTATTATAATAGCTTTCCCGTTTTATAAGAGTTAAAAGAAAGCAGCAAAAAAACTTGACAAAGTGATGTTAATAAAGTAATTTATTATGTCATTACATTTCTTGTCTCTAAATATGACATTGTTTCAGTGCTTTTCCTATAAAAGTTAAAAAGCAACAAAGAAACCTAATAAAATGTTAATAAAAATATTGCTCGTCAAATCGACGAAATTTATACAAAATTTGCCTTCTTTTATTTTAGAGACACCGATTCAGAATAAACCGGTTGCGTCTCCGGCGGCGCACAGTCTCTTAGCAAACGGCTCGTCCGGAGGGAAAATGAGTATGGGACCCCATCATTACGTGCCGTCCATCCCGGTCAATATCAACACAACCCAGCCCCATTATAATTCACTGGTAACTATCATGCGATCTTGTGTCATGGCATAATTACTCCGCGGCATGATTGAATTCTTCCCGTAATGTTTCATTATACCATCGGATAATGGTCGAAAGGCGCATTTTTCATTAAAAGAGACAGTTCTAATAAAGCAAAAGCATTTTAAAAAATACATACGTAACAATTCTTTCTCTTCGTACTTTTTAGCCACGTATGGGAGGGAGCAAGTTGCATGTGTCACAACTCAGCGAAACTCTGCATATCGACACACATTCGGAACCAATCCCGTAAGTTTTGCAACTTTTTATATTCATTTGAAAGAAAACTTATACATTACATTAATTTTATATAGTTTGTCATCCACGTGTGAATCACCGATAACCTACGTTATTGTATTTATGTATTTGTTAAATAATATGTGTCTCACAATACTTATAGCAATACAAAAACCGAGTACTAGTTGTCACCGGTGATTAAAATTGCGGTATATAAATATAAATTACGTAGCAATTATTTATTTTAGAAAATATTTTATGATCGCATTTCTTTTTATACATTCTAGAAAATAGCAATATTTATATAATTCTCACTGTGTTGATGTTAATATTAACCATGGGTTTTAATCCACATCATGATGGTATTGATATTATTACCAGAGGTTTGAAATCTACACTAATATTTTTTAGAGTATAGCTAAAATATATTAAATATAGTCTGAATTGAAAGTCCAATCGATCATCAGTAATTCACGCGGCACAGAATGCGTTAATGATTTTTTTATCTTAATAAATTTGAGCGGTTATCTTCTCATTCGTGTGTGGATCATTATATTATGGCAAAAAGTACGAATATCGAACTCATAAGTATTTACATTTCGACAGATACCGGGCGTTATACAACTACAAACCGCAGAACGACGATGAGTTGGAGTTGAAGGAGGGTGATACGGTGTACGTGATGGAGAAGTGCGACGACGGATGGTATGTTGGTTCCAGTCAGAGAACCGGCTACTTCGGCACCTTCCCGGGCAACTACGTGGAGAGATTGTGAGGAAGGTCGACGGTCCAGGACGCCACACGGCGCATCAGGACCCAGGATAGCTTTCACCAAAGCACTAAGCGTTAGAATAAGCACCAAATTTCTCAACGTTTAACCCCATCGTTTCTTTCGACATTACGAAGATTTTTGCTAAGCCAGAAGAGACTTTTGTTGAAGGGAATTCTAATATTTTTTTTTATTTTCTTCTTTTTTTATTGTAAAAGTGAAGAACGGATATGTATATAACGCATGATTGTAACTCCTGCATCTTTTACGACGCGATTATTTACAGATAATTATGAGTACAATTTATTTTATGATTATTTACTTCTTTATTGTGCAGGCGCACATTTACAGTTTTATTTCAATGCATGAAAATTTTAAGACTTTTAACAATCGATTTTTTTTAATGATTTAGTAATTAAATTTTAATAATTTTGCTAATACGAAAATTTATATCTTCAAAGTTACTAGCTAATGAATTTCTTCATTTAATTTTCGATGACATCAAAGTTACCGAATCATGCATACTCGAATTATGCATTATATGTAATTTCACATAACGTAACTGTCGCGAAATGTTACTAATACAACGAATGAGATTTCTAATTAAATTCACGCGATTGTGTCGCACGGAAGTACTTTCGCCGAGTTCGACGAATGTGATTAAAAAGTTTCGTGCAACGTCAAACGATTTTTATCGTTCCGAGCAAACAATAATTCGAGAGGCGAGAGGGTTAAGCGTCCACAGCAGTGAAGAAACATCACAATAGTCTTCTCTTTTGGGTCTAACGACGATGTTAATTGATAACGCGGTTAGGATAAATGTTAAAACTGTCAGTGTTTGCGGCGTGGCGTAATGAGGCTCTCGTGTGATCAGAGTTACTGTCCGTATATTAGTGGATTATCAACTAAGATATTGATATTTCAGTGTGTATGTGTATATATATATATGTGTGTGTGTGTGTGTGTGTGTGTGTGTGTATGTATACACACACACACACACATATATATACATATATATTTCCTTGATATATACTTTTGTTTTAAGTCATTCTTTTGTTACGATATGATATTTACGCAGTCAAACGCATGTTAACGATATTCAAAAATATCGGAGAGAACCGCTGATCATATCAGAGCTTTTTTTGGCGTCGAATTTACCAAAAAATTTAGCAAAACAATATGCTAGGATACGTGAGTTTGTAAGTAAAGTTTGTAAGTAGTGTACGATAACAATTAGTAACTTATTGTTACTGCTGTTCTTGGCAGCTGTTAACTTAAGAAAGAAGCAAAAAATGAAATGTGGGAAGAATATAACTCGAAAGGGAGAGGATTTTGAGATATTGAAGAAATACTGATTAGTTTGAGATTTTAGGGCCGTATTCTGAAATGGGAGGCTAATTAGCACGCGGAGACTTGTGTTGAGTTAGAGAGATGCGGATGGAGGTTTCCCTATGATTTCGGTATTGTAGATAAAATCGGCCACTGTTATTGTTGTATTCGTGAGTATTTCGAGACTAACGGACTTATAATTGAAAGTTTGCCTTCCCAAATTAATATTTTTGTAAGCATTATTTGTACCCAGAGTTATATATAAATATACAATATATACATATATATATATATATAGAGTAGAGATATATCTATATATATACACATACATATATATATATACATATACATACAAATATCGTTACATTGTATACCACGCGATAATATATAATATATAAAAATAACATACACGTACACTACAAATAATTAGTATCAGACGTACACGGAAAAATGTGTATATATATATACGATTGATAGTTATATACATTCATACAATCGCAATGTGAAAATAGCCAAGCCAGGTCGTCACAATCTTTTCTAACGTCACTTTATCACGATCGCACGATCGCCTAAGCGTTAAAGGAAGAGACGAACGTAAACAGACAATACTATTACTATAATAATTATAGAGGAACGAAAGAGAGATCATGTGACAAGGGCATTATACAGGCGCCGATAAATTCGAAAGCGATAGGTGCCGTTTTTATCTTCGAAAGAAGCTAAAAAGAAAATCATTTTTTTTTTCATTGCCTCGTCTTCAGTGTATAATTGAGCGGAAGCTTGGTGCAAAAGCACTTTCTCATTCAAAAGTACAGTGGTTTTGAAAGATTTTATCTATTTTACTATATCGAATGGCAAGATCAAATTTCCTTTCGATCGGTAAATCGAAGAGACATGATATATTCTCCAACAAAGATACCGCTCGATGTGCGATGAAAATGCGACAGAGACATTTCGTCTTACGTGCAACATATGCGCATATATCCACGTACATATCCCGTTAGATCGTAAAATTTACGGTCTCAAGTTCAACATTATGAGTCATCGAAATAAAAGCCAGGATTATCGTCGATTTTATGATATCGTCGAATCTATCTTTCGGCCTTTCTTCTTGTTACATTTTTTTATTTATGAAGAAAGTGTTGACGATCCCAAAATTCTTACGATAATATCCAAACGATATACTGAATGGTATATTCGTTGACGCTGCAATGTAACATTCGTTTTTTTTTTTTTGTTATAAAATATTTGGAAAAAGTTGATATTATTTTGCGATACAACTTTCGCCTTACACGAAAAAGATTTTATTAATATAGATGAATAAGTTATCAGACTAAATGTTTAAGATATTTAAGATTTATTTCTTTTTATTCGAGCTTAACTTTGACGATTTTGATTTTTGTAATGATAATCACGAATCGAAAATCATTGACAAGTAGTATGACTGTTTTGGCAAGATGACATGCTCGCCAGTACCGATAACACGTGATTTTTGCTTGACGTTAAATCAAATTTCATCAGTTAACAATTTGAATTCACTTGTTTTCGTGAACTTGCGCTAACGACGTTACTATGTACTATATTAAATGCAAATAAAACCTAGTCCATTACTAAAAACCTGTTATCTCGCGCAATAACTTTCCTTTAAAATTGAACAAAAAAATGAACACATTTCAACATTTAAAATAAATATTACTGTTCCTTATCCATTTCTTCAACAAAATCCTTTTTGTAACATTGTAGTAATCATTCCACACAAATACCATAATTTTCAAATAACATAGACACAATACGAATCTTATTGATTCTAAAATATCGCTATTGTGCTGAACGATCTTTGTTATAAAAAAACAATGTTTTTTAATAACTTGTATATGGAAAACAATTTTATCTTGAATAAATACGTGCAACAAGATTCTTAATCTTGTTAAAGAAATAAAAATGAATAGTTAGGAAACTGACAATATTACTACAATACTAATTATTACTTCAGCTCAAGTAGCACATTACCTACACAATATTAAAAAGGCAATATTAAAAGAAGTATATATATATATATATATAT